TATTGTTCCACCCATTTTCATTTCAAAAAATGAGGGTCAAACGAGTGCTTAATTTTGTCACTTTTTTCTATCACCTTCTTGATTTCAATCATTTTTTTAGTTGGAAATATCACTTTTAATAAAAATGGCATTATATGTCTTGTTTTAATAAAAAAGTGACTCCTAACTTTTAAAAGTTAATTTTGTGATTTTTGTATAACTATTTAACATTATTTCGTTTAATTTTTTGTTAACTAATTATTGTTGTGTACTATATTGTCAGGCACGCCACGAGTTTATGCATCAACTATGATTTGTTACTGGTTTTTCAAGTGAAGGGTTTCGATCATCCCCTTCATTAGCTGTTTTCGAAGATGAGCTCACGTTTAACATAAAAGATAATAAGACCAAAGAGTTGAAATGCTACCTTATAAAAGAGACTTAAATTTTTCAAGTTGATTTTGTTTAGTACTAACGAGTGTTATTTATTTCGTTTAATTTTTTTTTTTAATAAAGAATGTGATATTTTGTTGATGATGTGTTTAGAGCTCATGTATTTTTCCGTCTTACAAATCAATAGATCATAGTCAAAATTCAACGTACGAAATACTAGTTTCTCCAAAATCAGATGATTTTGTTCATATTATTCAAATATATATAATACATAAACTATAGATAGTCACATTTACGTGAATTTAAGTCATAATAACACAAACTTATAGGTCATAATCAAATGATTACTTTCGTCTCAATATCCTGACTAGAGGCAACATCTTATTCAACATATATTACAATGTAATTACGAGCTCCCTAGAATCTAACCCCAATTTTGATACTATCATGTCAACAAATTTGATATAATTGCAATCATCTTCCACAATAGATTCCACACAACAGGAAAACATGATCAATCAATTGCTACAAAAATACCAAAAACAATAGTAAGTCACAACTATTTCGTCAATACATGAACTATCGCAAATTGTCACACACGTACTACATACACAGGTGCTACGATACATAGCCTAATTATAAACTACTAAATTGATGACATAGCTGCTATACTAGTCACTGTTGTTGTCAACACTATTTATCTGATATAATTTAATTCGTATAACTACCAATTTGTAATCATATAACTCACATAAAGATCCACAATCCTCGAATAAATTTGATAAGCATGTCATCGGCATCTTCTCTCTCATATTTCACACAGTTCTTAGATAACACGTTTCAGTCACACACCTTACAAATCCACCATAATTGTGCTATATGAACTTCCACTTTCAATTGTCGCATCCTAAATATATTCTACATAGGAAATAGTCACAAATATGTCACGAATAATTGTCCGATAAAATGAGGTCACAAAGTGAACATTTTTCACAACAATCACACAACGTAATTATAAATAAATCCGTTGATTATAAATAAGCAATGTATAAATTGATGTCACCATGAATTGAGGTTGGAGAAGCCACATATATTCAGCAAGATGCTGATGTCACATTGAATTACAAGACAATTGTTAATCCCCAATAAATATTTTACAAAATTGGTAGTAACATATTCAAAATTATGTAGCCGTACAAAATCCATTGATCAAAGATTGGATTTGATGAAATATGCTTCTATTAGTTGCACTCAGAAACGAAATCCACACTGGAAAATAATTTCTATCAAATATCTTCGAACTATGATGGGAAGGATGATTCATTTAGTGAAGGAATCGAACTTAGGTAATACAATGTAATCGATGAAGATACAGTGATATGAAACTGTAAACTTGATTATGATGCAACAAATTTGGTAAAATTGTATTCAAATTATTGAGATTTCTTTTGTTGAAAGATAAAAGGTGGAGATTAAAATTATTTTTTTAGCAGATTGTAATAGAAATTTTTGAAATGTATGGTTAAAAAATTGTAGGATCCTTAAAAGATATTATCAATATTGATTGTTCGACTTTGACTTAAATTAAGTTTAGATTTTAATCCAAACCAATTAGGGGCAAAAATTGAGATTTCACCATTTCAATTGTTTGGAGGTAGGAAAAGATCTGTGCAACTGTAAGTGAGAAAAATGAGGAAAGAAATAATTAAGAGTGAGTTTTATTGCAAGAAATAAAATAAATTCAAGGCAATTTAATTGTCTAAAATTTATTTGTATGAAAATTATAAATTAAATGTGTTTGTTTAATTTAATTTTCAACTTAAAAAATATTATATTTGTCCATTTTTTATTAAAGAGAGGAAGGTAGCGAATTCTCTGAAAAATAAAATCTTATTCCTCCTAAAAAATATATTTTCCTTGATTTTGGGAAACATATGATCACGTAACCAAAAGTGGGAAAATGTTTTCCACGGAAAAAATATCAAGGAAGAATTTGAACGGAAAAAAAAAATTCCATTTTTCATAGAAAATATTGACAATCAAACGCACCTAATTGACTTGCATTTGAAATCTGATCGACAGCCTCACTTGGTCAAGAAAATTAAATGCAATGATTTATAATATATTTACTTCTAGACCAAAAATGAGAGAGAGATTATAAAAAAATTCTTAGAAAATGAATATCTCGCTCGTAGTTGTATCTTCGTAAGGGATGAAAAAAATCTCAATCCCTAATGATGAGAAGTAAAAGCATTCTTCATTCTTTTTGCTAGATGTCACCAAAGGTTTTACATTTACGAGAGAAGGAATAAAGACCAAACACGAACTGTGGAAACAACAACAAATGGTAGTAACAAAATTCTTAAATTACTATACATCATACTTCCAATTCCTGCATGATGTCAAAACAACCTGTACCCATCTTTACAGGCAAGCCAACGCAAATCCTAGAAGATGGTGTCTCCAAGTTGTCGGTCATCCCATGAGAAGCTGCTTCTACAATGAACTTTGAGGCTGTTTCGAACGACATCTTAAGAAACGGTGACAATGACTCAGCAATGCTTCCGTGTCTGGTCATTGGTCGGTAACCCCCCGTATGGGTCATGTAATCCGCGATTAAACTCAAATGTCGATAGTCAATCTTTACTCCGTAAATATCAAAAACTTGCTTCACCTCTCTTATGATAGTAGCTCGAGCAGCTTCTACCCCATAGGTCTTCAACATAGCATCAATATTG